TCAAATACACATGCAGAGTTGCGTTGTACTGACCGAATTTCTCCGCAAAGCACTGTAGTCGAGCTCTGAGTCTATTCATGTACCATTGGTAAGGTAAGGTGTTGTCGCAGCATGCAACCCATATGTGTTCGTTCGATTAAGAACCTCGCAATGCTGGACTACCTCCGTCCCAGTTTACAATTAATCACTCCCAACGGAGATTCTTGAAGTTCCATAATAAGTTTCTGATCATTCCTCAGAATTAATCAGGAAGGAACACACCGAATCAACAAATAAAAAATAAGTATTAAATCTATACTTGTTGTTTGTAAGCAAACAGTATGATAATAACAACATACAATTATCAAGTCTACATTTGAAGAATAATATTATGCTCGGTGGCTGGACACGCCGCTGCGACAGCAGACGCGTGGACTCCGTGGCAAACTGCATATCCCTGCATGGCGGGTAACTTCACCTTTGCTATGAAGGCGGAGCTAAGGGCGTATTCGGAGCGACTTTTGTGTCAGCGGTTTTTGGCTTTTTCCACAAGCCGCTGAAATATCAGCGACTTTTTGCCTTCACTGACATTGGTTAATAACAGAGAAAAATCAACCAATCATACGTCCTAAAATTCATTGTCCATTTTCAGCTCTATGACAGAAAATTGTTGTCGAGTAGTGGCTGTGGTGGCCAAATATTCAGGCGGCGAGTGGCGAAACGACATAGAGTAGATATAGCGCATGAGAACTATGTATCTACGCAAGTCAGTCGTAAGTCGGCGGCTTGGAAATATAGACTGCCACGCTAATGGCGCACCGGTAAAGGTCAAACCGACCGACAATGCTATGTGTTTCAACCTTGTGCGTCGGTGTGACCTTCTCTTTCCCGAAGGAGTCGTGCAGTCATCACTACTAACTCTAGGCATGCGCAACCCATAAGATCAACGCCTAGCTAACCTGAAATCAGTTTACACTACACAGAGCCTGGGGTTCAGTAAGAGTAGGAGGTCGCGCGGGAGGGGAATGTGTACAGCGTTCGATGCGTTGTGTGTGCAGCTACCTCGACATGGAAATGACTTACCACAGCCGTGCTTCACATGGGTAAAGTTCTCCCGTCGAGGACCTACCAGTACACACCGGAGTGGAGTGATGAACCACCGGCACCCGACAAGGGCGTGCTTTGGGCGTGCTCCTGCTGATCTTGAATCCAGGGATGCGATTCACTTCCCGACAGACTTCAACCCATGCCGCCATCACCTTGCCGTAGCCCGCTT